TCTTACCTTTGGCAGATCTTTCCGCTACCGAGTAGGGAACCATATTCAGAGTTTTGGCATATCTTGGGTTTAGAGATACTGCTTCTAATGCTTGGTGTTGAATTCTCGATTGATTGCTTTTTCTGGAAGTAAGCTTCGTATTATCGGTCATTCGTTCCTTTTGAGATTCATGCAGGTAATTCTGGTGTATATATACTAATTTCTCTTGTTTTGCTGCTCCTTGGAAGCGACAGCTATGATAAGGATAGAAAAATTTTTAGTTAGTCATATCATGGAAACCAAAAAAGACAAAATTAATTCTCTCTTTATTTTCATGCCCTATGTGTCCTATAATTAAGGCCAAGAATTGGGTTATTTTCCTATTGTAGATATTTTCTGAATTCCTAAGTAGATATCTTATCGGGCAGTATAAGTAGTCGATTGGTCCTCACTTTGGCTACCGGAAGATTCGCCCCCACTGCCCAAGTCGTCGCCCTCCTTTGAGACATCAACAAGATGATCATTGATCAAGGCATTGAACTCGGATGTGTCAGAAAACTCTAGGTCGACAAAACTGTGGTAAATGAACTCCTAAAAGTCGAAATAGGATGGGGATATCACGCCAAGGCCAGTAGGCTCGATTCGAACATCTTTTTGTTTATACCTCCACATGATGCCTACTCAGCAGTCCATAAAATATCGACAATAGATAAATAGCCCGATTCTTGTACTTATTCTAAGACACACGGGGCATGAGAGTAATGCGAGAAATAATTATTAAATTTTTATTTTTTGATTTTTTTGATATGTTTAACTAATAAATTCCCAATCCTTATTGTAGTTGTCGCCACTAAGGAGCAATAAAACTCGAGAAACTAATATGTATACACCAAAATTACAAGCCCTGATCTCAAAGAGAATGAACGTCCAAGAATACGAAGCTTCCTTCTGGGGAAAGCGATTTCAACTCCAAGCATGAGAAGTTGTGTTTCTAAAATTGGGATAGATCAAAGCTCCTAAGATGGTTCCTTACTTGGTAGCAGAAAGATTCGTCAATGTTAGTGAGCAAATCAACCCGTCAGCGAGTCTCGGCGGATACTCTGCATAGGCAATGACAAGATCCACCCAGAACCATGAGAGAGGCAAGATCCGGCTGAGGTGACAAACTGACCAGACGAATGAGACACATATCCTATAAGTCTTGATCCAAATAACAAGTGAGCCACCGCTCTCCCAACAAAATAGATCAATCCATCAGTCCACCGACCGACCAAAGTAATAGGTCTCACATAACCAATCAGCCAGACGTATTGTCAAGATGATCAACTATATTTGGATCAACCAATTACCCCATCTCATCAGAGGCGGATTTCAGTATGTTAACTAACACGATCGGTCACCCGCCGACCGACAATATTTACTTAAGCTCATTAGTCATTGTAAACCGTTATTTTGGTTAACATTATGATGGTCATGAGATCAAATTATATGCATTAAATCCATTAATAGTGGTTACAAGGCGGGCAGCAATAACCTAGAGGAATTAGAGGTCCTCCGGGCAGCAATAACCTAGAAGAATGAATAGACGCCTCATCTGGAAGCGGAACCTCAAGGAGCTCGTCCCCAAGATGCCCATTAAGGAACCTAAATACTACGGACAACCAAGTCAACAACCAGTGGATGGAGGGACAAGGCAAGTCCCAACACACTAACACTGTTGCGCCTGCACAGTAAAATAAAAGGTGAGAAGAGCAAATGCGAGTGCTTGTCTGACCACTCACAAGAGGGGATTTTTACT